GCTTATCTCCAGCACCTTCTAGTACCTTCCAATTTCAACTGGTGAGCGTGGCCTCTGGGCTGTGTCACTAATCTTCACCAGCAGAATGATGGATACCGGGATGGTGACAAGCAACTTCTGCTCAAGGAAATAGGACTCTTGAGACGGGACATCAGACCTAGTGGGCTGGAGAGGCAGCAGTGATCCTCTAACACTAGCACCTAGCATTCTGGTAGTGCCTGTCATACAACGTCAACAGGACGGTGACCTGGGATCAGCTAGTGTGAAGAAAAGGCTTTAGAAGACAGGACCTGCCATTGCCCACTGGGTAGGAATGACGCTAGGAAGTCTGACTGCTTCCACATACACAGAGTGCCTGAAGATGAGATTGCAGGCTCAGAAGTTTTCCTTCTTTTTAGCAAATAGCTTTATTGGCCACGCGGTAGCTCATGCCTGCAATCAGGATGCTGAGGCAGGAGGATGGCATGTTCAAAGTCAGCCTCAACCACCTAGCAAGACCCCGTCTCAAAATAAAAAAGGACTGGCGATGTGGCTCAGTGGTAAAAGTGACCCCCGGATTCAATCTCCAGTGCCAGAAAACAAAATAAACCAAAAAAACCCTCCTTATTGAGGTGTGAGTGACATGCTTCAGTGTGCCACTTGATATGTTTTGATATATTTCATATCCATGGGGTTTTGGTTCTGAGGTAACCAAAACCTTCAGATGCTCCAGTCATTTATGAAAAAAGGCCTACTATTTGCATGTAATCTGTTCACATCCTCCCCTATACCTTAAGTCATCTCTAACTTATAATAACCAACAATGTAAATGGTGTGTAAGTAGTTGTTACACTGTGTTATTAGGGAGTAATGACCCAAAAAAATGTGTATACATGTTCAGCATAGATGCAATTCTAAAAACTAGTCTCAGTGCTCCACTGATTGAATCTGTGGACGTGGAAACCACCCACCCAAGGAACAACTAAACACACAAGACACCCTCACACACACACCTGTCAAACCATCACCAAAATCAAGATAATGAATATCCATTACCCCCCCCCAAATTTCCTTGCATTCTTTTGTAATCAATTCCCTCTGTTTCCTCCCTGTTTCCCACCATTCCCAGACAATCGCTGATCTGCTTTCCATCACCATAGCTTGTATTTTCTAGATTTTTTTTAATAAATGGAAATCATACAGTCTATATTTTTTTGGGGGGGTGTTCTGGTTTCTTCCACTAGGGACAATGACAGTTTTTTTGTGTGTGTGCAGTACTGGGAATTGAACTTAGGGTCACTTTTCCACTGAGCTTTTAGCCCTTGCCCTCTTGTAGGTTTTTCATTTTGAGACAGGGTCTTGCTAAGTTTCCCAGACTGTCCTTGAACTTGCAATCTTCCTGCCTCAGCCTCCTGAGTCCTAGTATTACAGGTGAGTGTCACCATATATTAAAATCATTTTGAGATCCATTCATGTTGTTAAATTTATTGATAGATCATCCTGTTTTATTGCTGAGTATTAATCCATTTCAAGAATATACCACAATTTGTGTTTCTATTCACTTGTTGGATGGATTGGTAGGTTGTTTCTAATTATGAGTAAAACTACTATGAATATTAGCAAGAGTTCTTTGGGTTTTTGTTGTTTTTAATTATAGATGAAAATAGAGTTTTTTTTAAAAAAAAAATTTTAGTAGTTGATAGATCTAATTTTATTTATATGTTGTGCTGAGAATCGAACCCAATGTCTCACACATGCCATGCTCACTACCTCTGAGCCCCGGCCCCAGCCCCTAGAGTGGATTTTGACGTACTATATATACATGGAGTATAACTCCCCATTCTTGTGGTTGTACATGATGTGGAGATTCACTGTGGTGTATTCATATATGACCACAGGAAAGTTATGTCCAATTCATTCAGTCTTTCCTATCCCCATCCTCCCTCCCTTCCCTTCATTCCCCTTTGTCTAATCCAATGAACTTCTATTCTTCCCTAATACCCCCTTTATTGCACATTAGAATCCCCATATCAGAGAGAACATTTGGTCTTTGGTTTTGGGGGACTGGCTTACTTCACTTAGCATGAGAGTCTCCAGTTCCATCCATTTACCAGCAAATGCCATAATTTCATTCTTCTTTATGGATGAGTAATATTCCATTGTGTATATATACCACATTCTCTTTATCAATTCATCTGTTAAAGGGCACCTAGGTTTGGTTCCATAGCTTAGCTATTGTGTCTTGTGCAGCTATAAACACTGATGTGATCATGTCACTGTAGTATGCGTATTTTAAGTTCTTTGGGTATATGCTGAGGAGTGGGATAACTGGGTCAAATGGTGGTTCCATTCCAAGTTTTCTGAGGAATCGCCTTACTGCTTTCCAAAGTGATCGCACCAATTTCCAGTCCCAATAGCAATGTATGAGGTACCATTTTCCACATCCCACAGAGGTCTTTGTATGGACATGTTACTTATATGCTTTAATTTTTCTTGGCTAGATACCTGGGAGTGACATGGTACACATATACTTAACTTTTTAAGAAACCACGAGACTGTTTCCCAAAGTGGTTGTGACCCTTCACATTCCCACCAGCAGTGTGTGAGAGTTCTAGTTGCTTCCCATCCTGTCCAACACTTGGTCTGGTCACTCTTTAATTTTAGCTGTTCTAATAGGTGTAATGTATCTTATTGTGATTTTAATTTGCTTTTCCTTAATAATGAGTGACATAGGGCATCTTTTCACACCTTTATGTGTTATTCATACATCTTCACCCATTTTTTAAAATTTTTTTAGTTATAAGTGGACACAATGTCTTTATTTTACTTTATGTGGTGCTGAGGATCGAACCCAGTGCTGCACTCATGCTAGGCGAGTGCTCTACTTCTGAGCCCCAGCCCCAGCCCCCGTCTTCACCCATTTTTGATGAACTGACTATTCAAATATTTTGCTCATTTTTTACTGGATTGTTTTCTCATTTTTGAGTTTAGAAAGTTATTTATAGATGCTGCATACAAATGCTTTGTCAGATATGTGAACTCATAATTCACTCATTATTTTTCAGTTTATGGTTTGTCTTTTCATTCATTCAATAACGTCTTGCGAAGAGTAATTCTTTATTTCTACTTCTTCTTCTTCTTTTTTTGGTACTTGGTATTGAACCCAGGGCCTTGTGAATGCTAGGCAAGTGCACTACCATTGAGTTACATCCCCAGCCTCTTTTTATTTTTTATTTTGAGACAGTAGCTGTGATTACAGGCATGTAACACCATACTTGGCATTAATTTTAACAAAGTCTAACTTATCAAAAATTTTTAAATATTTTGAAAAATAACAAATTGTGCTTTTGGTTTTCTATCAAATAAATACTTGCCCAGCCCAAGGTCAAAGATTTACTTTTTGTCTGTTCTAGAAATCTTAATAGTTTTAGGTCTTACATCTAGGTTTATGGTAAGTTTTGAGTTAGTTGTTTGATGTGAAGCAAGGATTAGCTAACTTTGTCTTAAAGGTCCAGACACTGAAGATTTAGTCCTTGTGGGCTAGATGATCTCTGTCTCAGACGTTCACCTCTATCACTGTAGTGCAAAGCAGACTGCCACCAAGAGTAACAGTGAGTGCCTGTGTTGCAAAAACAGGTAGTCGGCTGCATTCAGTTGTTGTTGTTATTTTTAGATATACATTCAGCCCACTGACCAGAATTTGGTGATTCCGTCTTTGAATGTGCAAACCCTACTGAGCCCCTCCAGGCAGCAGAAGTGAACCCATCACCTCTGTTGCATCTGCTACTACTTTGCCCAAAGATCCTCAGTGCAAAAGACCCTGCAAGAGGGCTGGGGTTGTGGCTCAGTGGTAGAGCACTCGCCTCCCACGTACGAGACCCTGGGTTCCATCCTCAGCACCACATAAAAATAAATAAGTGAAATAAAGGTATTGTGTCCAACTACAACTAAAAAAAAAAAAAAACCTGCAAGAGGGTGCTCCATTTTCTCATTTTCCACCGTCCTTCTCCTCATTGCTATTAGTCCTATAAGTAGGGAGAGATACCTGTGTGCCTTGGACTGAGTATACAACAGGATGTAGAGCCGCCTACATGCCAGGATCTCAGGTGCACAAAGCAAACTGCTGGGTCATTCAATTTCATCTTCTCTGCCTGTTTGGGCAGACAAAACCAGTAAAGAAGGTTAGGTTGAATTCTGCTTCTAATGCTGTGTGATCTTGATTAAATCACTCCACTTTTCTCTCCCTCTGAATTCTCATCCGTGGGGGAAAAAAGTTATTATTTCTCCATGTCACTGAGCAGACAAGAATAAGGCAAGACATTCCTTACCCACCTGGTTCACTCTCTACCAGACAATTCCAGAGCTGCCTTCTCCTTGAGCAGTTTATAAAGACTGCTTGCTTGCTTTCCTTTTAAAAATCACTGTACAAATGCAAGGTGTTGTTACTATTTTCTCTTTTTAAGTAATTCTAGAAAGCCTAGCCCCAGGATTTCACAATCTGTCACTGGCTCTCAGTGCCCCAGCCTGTTGCCAGGGAGAGAGATTATCCGGGTTTGGGGAAGGTCAGCCAGCCCCAGCACGATCTCCAACACAGCTTGGCTTGCCATCCCCAATCACAGCTTTGGAGTTAGCGACACAGATCCTGGGCAGGACCACTCCAAGGCCAAACAGAGTGGGCACTGAGAGGAGAACAGCACTTAGCACCACTAGCCCCCCTCCAGGCCACTCTAATCACCACCCACGCCTGCAGAAGGCCGCAGTCTGCGTGGCAGGCAGGCTGCAGGCTGTCAGAATCCTGAAAGAGGCAATGTCTTTGAGATCCAGAGACCTCATCTGTGTGGCCCCAGGGGCCATGCTTTGAACACAGCAGAGATCAAAGAGCAGATCTCCAGACAACTAGAGGAACTGGTGCGCACGCAGCACCGACATGAAAATATTTATCACAGCCCTCTATAAATGTATGCAAGAGCTAGAGATCCAGAGCCGTTTCTCATTCCATGCCAGCCTCACAAACCAACATCTGTATCTATGAAAGAATGAATTTATTTATTCACAATTATTAAGAATGGCTCCCATTTTATATGAGGGTAAATCTTTTGAAAAGGATTTTCACATCATTGTCCTGTAAAACAAATCATCCCAGGTGGCAGGAAAGCAATGCTGTCCTTGATGGGTCTTGCAGTTCAGAGAGGTGAGGTGACTTGTCAAAGACCACGCAGCTAGAAAGTAGTAGAGCTGATGTGGAAGTTTCAGCTACTGTGACTCCAAGCTTGGTGCTTTTCCCCTTCAGCCTCCTTGGAGTGGGCTGAAAAGACTGTCTTGTCATCAGGTGGGAAGCCTAGGAAGCAGACTCAGGAGGGAGGGAGAGATGAGCTAAGGAGGGCACCAGCTGGATGAGCCCTGTGTCCTGATGGAGGGACAGCTGTTAGAGCCAGACCGCTCTCTGCCCCCACTTCTTCTTACCTGGTGACATGGCCCCTGGCTTACTAAACAAACATATGGGGAGTAAACACTGAATTTTCTTTTCAGAAGGATTCACCATAGAGACTTTTGAATATTAATCTTCCTGTGGGCATCCAAACCTTAAAAATGACATGTGCGGGGACAGCCGGGTTGGGGAGACATTCATACATGTTATGAGGTCCCTGCAGGAGTCAATTACAACTGTGGACAGTCACTGGGGTAAATGGAGATGGGCGGAACAGACCTGAGGGGACCAGATGACCCCTGCAGAGGATAGCAGTGCTGGTCTCTGACTGTCTCCCATGCTCAATGGAGAGTATGTGGGTTCACTAGATATGCATGTGTGTATGCGCGTGCACTTGTGGAAGGTGTGTGTGCACGGTGGGGACGGCCAGGCTCTCATCATCAACCTGAAGTTCCATGATGCTGCCTTCCACGAAGGTTTTCTTTGACTTTCCTAATCAAAAATTAATAGGCACTTACTTGCTGCTGCCTTTAATTACATTTGCTAGAGACAAGTGTCTGCCAACCGGCATGGCTCTGGCTGGCTTCCTTGCTTGGGTCTGCTCTCAGCAAAGCCCATTTGATTTGGGAAGGGAGAGGGTGCCATTTTGACTGAGCATCTTGAAGAGGAAGAAATATCTCAGGGTGCCGATGAGTCTCTGCTCATCGGCAGCATTTGCCTGACCAAGAAGCTGAACCACACACGCCTTGGTGGAATGGGGGCCAACCTGTGGGCTTAAGGACCCCTAGGGACCACGGAGTCCATGAACAAGAGTCACTAAGCCCTGCTTGTGGGCATCGTGAACGATTCTACCCCAACAAATACAGGACCACTTTTCTAACATGTAGATATTATTGGGAGTGGCAAATTATTAATCCATTTTAATCATTAAATTTATGTTAGCTTTTTACCATTATGTATTTTTTAAACTGAAAATACATATTCACTTTGAGTGTGCCCCCCTCCCCCCAAATCCATGTGTTGAATCCTCACTATCTCAATGCAGTGGAATTGGGAGGTTGGTCCCAGTGGGAGGAGTTTGGGTCTTGGGGGTTACTCTCAGGAATGGATTCAGGCCTTTCTCTTGGGAAACTTTCTCTTAGGTTAACTATCTCAGGAGTTCAGTCCCCTTTTCTCTCTTCCTCACATGCCCCCTTTCCCTTTCCCTTTGCGCTGTGAATTAAAACAGAAGATGGGGGTTCACCTGGCCTTGAACTTTCAGAACTGTGAGCCAGAATAAACCTCTTTCTTTTATAAATTAGTCAGTCTCAGGTATCCTGTAACAACAACAGAAAATGAACTAAGATTTACAGCATGTTGGGTCTTTCACATTTTTTACCTTAAAAATGGGTCTTCAGACAGAAAAGGCTAGAAGCTGAAAACTAGAATATCCTTCCTATAATGGTGAAGCAGTTCCTGAAGGGAGGGGTTTATTTGTGTGTTACAGGGGATTGAACACCCGAGTGTTCTGCCTCTGAGCCACATCCCCTGCCCATTTATGGCTTTGATTTTGAGACAGGTCTTGCTAAGTTGCTGAGGGTGACTGTGAACTTGCGATCCTCCTGTCTTAAGTCTCCCTAGTGCTGGGATTATTGGTGAGCTCCATGGTACCCTGAAGGAATAAGTTTTTTTGGGACCCCGTTTCCGCCTCTCTATTTTAAACAGCTTTTGAGATATAATTTACATACCATAAAGTAGTTTCAATTAAACCGTGTAATCCAATGGTTTTGAGTAGATATTCACAGAGTTGTGGAGACAGTCACAAGAAATCATCTTAGAAGAGTTCCGCACCCCATTGTACTCATTAGCAGTTGTTCCCCATCCTTTCCCCCAGACCCTCAGAGCTAGGCAACTACTGATCGTTTCTATAGATTCACTTCTTTTGGATATTTCATCTAAGCAGGATTATATAATACTCGACCCTTTGTGACTCGTGGAGTGTTTTGAATCTAGTCTCGCAGACTCCTATGCATACTTTAAGACCCTTCTCCTCAGCCTTTTCCTGCTTACCCAACCTGTGGAAATAGATTGCTCCTGTTAAATCACGCTGTCTTGTTTGGGTGTTCGAGCAGCACTCGACACAAGCTGCACTGCCCATCTTTGCTGATACTGCTCTTTATTCTCCGGTTCCGTGAAATCCCTCACCTCTGACTTCTTGGGGTGGTATCCTGCTGGCATAGACCTTGGGGTCCCCCTCTCAACTGAGCCCAGCGTGGTTTTCTGCTTCAAATGGGCAATCAGTGTGATGAAAGAATAAATGACTCGTGGGGATGTTCCCAGACTTTGAGGAAAAAAGGATTCAGGAGAACGTACAAGAAAGCAAGCAAATTCAAGAAGATAAATCATGGACCGTGGGCATTAGAGTCCAAAGGCTTATCAGGTACCAAGTGACTAGAAGAATATTAAGAGGTCCTGGGATGCAAAGGGTCTCCCACCTACCTCCAGTAACAATTGAAAGAACATATTAGTCACTCTGTTAGCTGAAGGCATTAACCGCCTCCATTAAAATGCAAATGTCAACACCTGGGAGAGTGGTTGATGGAGCTATTATCAGCCATTTCCACCTCAGCTCCAATCTGAGCTCTTTGAAAGTTTTCTGTTCCCTGGGGCCCAGAGGTTTAGAGGTGAGGATGGGGTTTGGAAAAAATCTAGGTCCTGATTCCCTAGATGGCTAATTACAAATTCATCATCCTTGGCTTTCAAACCAAGGGAGCCAGAGGTCAAGTCAGAGGGCTGTTGGCCTTGGTTCCTCTTCAGAGCTCAGAGTGGAGGACCAGCTGGACCAGCTGGCTCTCAAGAGATGCCTGAGTCGTCTCAAGTCTACATGGGATGACCAGCCTTCAGGACACTTAGTGCTCCAACCTGCCAGGCACTTGATGACTAGAGAAAAATAATAAGTAGTGCATTCTCTGTGGGAAAGGTAAGCCATCTAGTTTGAAGTATGGAGTTTACTCTGAAAATGCAAATACCCGTGCATATGTCAATCTACCTAATAGTGGGAATGAGATGATATTTAAGACCGTCTTCTCCCTTGTTGGGCCTTAGGAATACTCCAAAGTATGATGAATGCTTTGAATTAAAGGAGAATGAAGATCTCCCTGTCACCCCCGACGGGCCTCTTTTCCTCCTCAAGTGCAGGAGGGGATTTTTGAAAGTTCCCCTGACTCTAGAAGTCTGGAGCCTCCAGCAGATCAGTCTGCAGGAAGAGAATCTAGAGCCCAGGTCAACTTGGTTCCGGGGTATTGTCTGTTCTTTGGGTCCACTTAGCTCCTACCCTAAAAGGCATTTTGTCTTCTTCAAAATTTGCCTATAGCCTCCATTTCTCTCTCCCTTTTGAAATGGGTATTTAAGCTTCAACCAGCTGGCCTTCTGTGGGTTCTGTACTTTGTGTAATCACCCTAATGTGAGAAACAAGCTCACTGGCCCAAATCCAAAGCATGGACTAAGAGAACCAAGGTATAACATGAAATCGAGGCTTTTATTGATGGTCTTGCAGATTGGAAGTTTGGGTGAGCAGGCACTTCCAAGCAATTACAACCAGCATTTGATTCCCTGGTGTGCAAGGTCCCTTCTCCAGCTCCTCATTGGCTGAGTACTATAGGGTGTATAGTACCTAAGGTCATCTAAGTTTTATTGTCTTCAATTGGGTTATTTAAAGAAATGCACCTTTAGTTGTCTCCACCTCCCTTTGTTCTCTTGTGGCAGAAAGGCCTTTCTGGGATTGAGTGCATTTTGGCATGTATGAAGTTTATTCATCTTTGTTGGTCAGGTAGGTGTACATGAATACATTTGTATGCCTTTTCTCCTGTTAAATCTATTTAGCCAGGCTCAAATTGTGAATCCCTCAGGGGTGGAAAGTTCCTTTTGCCCCTACACCCTTGAGAGAGACTTAGGTTCTCATATTTTGTAATTCCTTTTCTTTTTTTTTTTTAATAAAAATTTTTCCCCCTTCTGCACTAGGAATTGAACCCAGGGCCTTGCACATGCTAGGCAAGCACTCTACCTACGAGCTATATCCCCAGCCTCCATAATTCCTTTTGAAGAACTCATTGTAGAACAGGCCTCTCCTGGGAAAAACTTTGCAGAGGGGAAAAAGAAAAAAAAATTATTTTATTTAAAAAATTTTTTTAGCCAGGGTCTCATTAAGTTGCAGTGGCTGATCTTGACCTTTAGATCCTCCTGTCTTAGCCTCCCAAGTTTCTGAGATTATAGGTATAGGCCACTGTACCCCATTGTAAAATTCATTTTTGACTCCCAATTCCTAACTTATTTTCATTCCTGCCCTCCTCTTTCCAGCTCCCAGGCACCCATGACCTCTTCTACTGTGTTTCCCATTTTATGGTTTCATTCACCTCAGGAACTGCTCCCTGGTGCCAAAGGCTCTGTTTTCCTCTTCCTAACATATCGCTGTTCTTAATAGCAAGCATCCTCTCCCTTGGTGTCCCCCAGCCTTGGCTGGGCCTTAGTGGGAGGCATGCTGATTAAACTCACTCACATTGACTTGCCCATGGCAGACAGTTCTGTCACAGCACCTTCAACCTCCCAGGGCATTCCTTTTTCAACCACTTTATTGAGATATAATTTGGTATCATAAAGTCTACCCACTTACTGTGTGCAATTTAGTGGGTTTTGGTGAATTTACAGTTGTGCAGTCATCACCGTAACCTAATTTTAGAACATGTTCATCATCCTAAAAGAAATCTTATACCTGTGGCCTGTGACTCCCCATTTAAGCAGTGCGGCAAAGTATTTCTAAGTAGGGGAGAATTACTGATATTCACTTTTACAAATATTTCTGACTATTCTAAAATACTAGTGTTCTAATTTCTGAAACAAATATTCTTTTTTTAATATTTATTTTTGAGTTATAGGTGGACACAATATCTTTATTTTATTTTTATGTGGTGCTGAGGATCAAATCCGGTGCTTCACACATGGTAGGTGAGCGCTCTACCTCTGAGCCACAACCCCCGCCCCATGAAACAAATATTCTTCTAAAGAACAGGCTCCGGGAGTGAAGAAGCCCTAAAGGGTAACTGAGGCACCAGGGGGAGGAGGGCTAGAGGGGGTGTGTCTGCAGCTCTCCCCTAAGGCTGGAGGTGCTCTGGGTGTCTATAAAGACTAATTCCAGAGAGGCCTGGGATGGCCCCTGGGTGAAGACCCTAAGGACCACATCCTTTCTGCATCATGTAAACCTCTTAGAGTTTGTCTTAAAAACCTCTGCCTTTCTACCCTGTGACTGCAGCTCCTCTGGATTTTCTTTTCATAGGGATGAACTCCTGGACTTGCACCTCAGCCCTGGATCTCCTCCAGTCAGTGGAGTTATTTCCGTTACTATGTCACTTTGGGGCCCAATTAACATCTGCTCTGTAATAGCTTTCTGACTGGTCTCCTATGCTCTTGGATATTGTTTTCTTTTTTCAATGTGGCTGCGTCTTTCCCAGTTTGCCTCCCCAAACAGAATGGACCAGGATACTCTGTCCCCCAATTCCTTCTTATTGTCTTTAAACCCGAGTCCTCTGTGCTGTGTTGAAGAATTCAATAACCCGCCTGTCCATCCCCACCAAGCAACCCAAGCACTCCTTAGTCACACACCCCTGAGTCTCCATGCGTTCACTAGTTCCCGGGTGTACCTTCCTTTTGTTTATCCACCAACTAGTGGTAACCTCCTACCAACTAGTGGGCACCAGATTGAGCACTGGGTACAGAATGGATCAGATACCAATTATGCCCTCAAGAAGTTGGGCAGGCTGTGGAGATGATTCTATGAACAAATCAAGATAATACAATGAGACAGGTGCAATGACAGAGATACCGTCAAGATATACTGGGAGCAGAGGGAGTGATTACAGGTTTGGGGGAAAGGGTGGCAGAGTGGAGGTGCATTAAAAAGGCCTTTACCCAGGTGCTGCTAGTGTAATTTGTGGGGGGAAAAGGATAATGTCTGCAGAGGAGAAAGAGCAGTTCAAGGTGGTTAAGTGGCTGGTGGCATGGAGAAGTGGTGGGCAGTGAGACCCATAGGTGAGAAGAGGCTGCTTTGAGGAAAGATTTCGAGGAGGTGTGAATAGATGAGGACAAAGTGGAGGACAGGTTTGAGGGCAAGGAGGAAGAGTTGGCAATTGTCCAGGCAAGGAGGGGGACCATCTGGACAAGGGTAAGAGAATGTAGAAGAAACTGATATGAAAAGATAAAGGCAGAAGAAGGACCATTATGTCTGGAGAGTTTGGGGATGATCATTTTAGTAGCAGTGGGAAAATGGAAAATAGGGCAGGCTGCTTGGGAGATTACCTCAGTGTTAGATTAATGGAATCCAGGATGTGGGTGTGTCCCAAGGAGCATCCATGGGCTGGGGGAAGCTTGGAACTGGGAAAAGAGGTAAGGATGAAGGTCTAAATTTTATAAATATCTTAGGGGGAAAAATGTGCTTATCCTGTGACCTAGCAATTCTACTTGTAGGAATCTCTCCTAATGGCATAATTTAAGGGTGCATGTGAAGATTTATCTACAAAAATGCTTATTGTTTATGACAATAAAAGGATGGAAACATTCTATAAACTATTCTGACAGTGAAAAATGTCTAACAGTAGGAACTGGTTAAATAAATTGTGATATATCCATACAATAGAATTATACTCTGACAATAAAATGGATATTGTAAGTGAACACTTACTGACATGAAAAAAACTAAAATATTTTGCTAAGTAGATAAAGGCAGACTAAAACTGTAGAATAAAAGTCCCAGTTATTTTTTAAGAAAAAAAAAATCAGGACTTTAATGTTGGTTCTTCCTAGGTGGTAGGATTATGAATATGATTTTTTCTTTGTTTTTAGTTTTTCTACATCAATTATAAAATGATTTTTTTAATTGAAAAAAATAATAAAAGGAATAACCAGCTAAGGAGCGCTCAGGTGCAGAGAAGCTGATCAATGACAGACCTCTGATAAGTAATCCTGACTTCTCTGGCCACCTAGCCTCTGTGCATGTAATAGCCTATGACCTGAGTATCTCTCCTGCATGGTATTTGCTACATGGCTATATGGTAGAGAACAAGGAGCCGAGTGCTGCAAACAGTGGGCCTTCTACAAACTTATCCATTTTCTAAGTCTCAATTTTCTCATCTTTATGCTGGAGAGAATAATACTTTTCTCAAAATGGTTATTTGATGATAAATAAAATTTATAGAGACCATTGGTTTAGATTGAGCTCCTGCATTAGGCCCAACAGACTTAACCCAAATGGAGTTACTTATGCTGAAGTTCCAAGCCACCAAGTCAAAAGTAAGTTGTTAATCTGACCTTTCAAGAAATCATTTGGAGGGAGGGAGGAAGACACACACACACACACTACACACACACACACACACACACACACACACACACACCAAACAGGTCAGTTTTAGTAGGCATAATAAGTCCCTTTCCATTTAACTTTTACAAGGAAAGTAACTTGAAATGACCTATATGATTTTTTGTTCTCTATTTCTGCTTCTTCAGCCCTTCTCTGTCCATAAAACCAATCTTCTCTGCTCATCTCATTGAAATACTCAAATCCATTTTGTAGAATAGGTGTTGTCTGATTCTTGAATTGCAAATAAAAGCTAATTAAGATCTCTAAATTTGTTGTAATGCTGTCTTTTGATACTGACAATAAAATATTTACATACATACATAGTAGCTTAATAAATATTAGTTCATCTTTCCTTTCCTCTTCCAAATTCTTCCCTGCTAGACTCAGATTTGATTTCCAGATTTGATCTCCCAGGGTAGGAAATGAGACGGCCTCTCTCTGAACACAGGTGAGCTCTGTTGGAATTCTGTTCCACACTGAACTTGGCTGGACCTGTAGGTAACAGCCAGCTCTGCTCCCTTCCTGAGTTTGGTCAACTCTCTCCTGGTAGCACCTAGCATACCGCTCTGCTCACTGGGGGCGCTCCAATTTTTCTTGACTAAATTTGTGTTGCTTTATATGACTTAGCTAATCATGGATTACTCAAAGGCTGGATGATTACTCAAGGGTTAGTTTACTCAGACCTCTCGGAATTTTTCTCCTCCCATTCTGTAGCTCTGGCAAGGTTTATGTTCCACTCTGCAAATAGATGACCAGCAGAAAGAAAAAAAGTAGTTCTTCAGACCCATAGGTTCCTTGTCATAACCTCTGAGGAGAGTCTGGAGGACCAAGAGGATAAAGGAAGGCTGTTTCTCTCTCCCCTGGTTAGAGGTATGGTCCCCCCACCATACCTCACCAAGAGGAGACAGCCTGCAGGACATCTTTACTCTAGGGGAAAATGAAGTTGGGCAGACACATCATTTCACAGGCCCAGGTCCCCTGTACAGGCAGTAAAGTCCTCCTCACCCTTGCCTTTGCTGGCTAGCTGAGCAGGAGCATCTGGCCATTATTCCCTTTTCCCAGGTCCTGCCTTGCAGCTTGCTCTGGTGCACATCCTTCCTGAAAACAGCTTATTGAGTCTGGGAGGCAGCCTGGTGCTAAGAAAACATCTTTGGGTTGAAACTTAGGAGACTTGTGTGACCCATGGCAAGTTGGTTAAGCTCTTGAAGCCTCAGATTCCGGGAATAACCACAGAGGCCCTGTCCCCTATCACAGCCTAGAGTTACTGGGAGGGAATCAAATAAGATTTATAAAAGTATTAACAGGTAAACAGCTCTTTATAAACGCCAGGTGTTCCCAGTTCTGTTTGTGGGGTTTCCTCTCTGTAACTATCCAGCAAAGCGTTCCTGTCCGCCCCGCCCTGGTTGTACGGGCCTCACCCACTGCATCTTCATCTTTTCCGTCGTTGTGTTTCTGAGCCTCCGAGATCTTCAGTCTCAGCATCTCCCCTGCCCATTTCCGGGTCTGGCTCTGGGGCCCCTCGGGTCTCTCCAGGGACTCAGTCTCTGGCTCCCTGCGGCAGTCGCTACCCGGGTGCCCCCCGCCCGGCGCGCCCTTCTTTGGCACGGTCGCCGGGCCAGAGAATCGCCCAATAAGCGCGCTGGACTCGAGTCTGACAGCTCAGGAAGCGGCCAATCGAGCCCGGCCAGAGAAGGGGGGCGCAGCGCCGGGGCTGAAGTTGGGTTGAATGGGGGGAGGGGGAATAAAGGGGGATACAAAAGAGGGGAGCTAGGACTGGGGGCGCAGGAACCCAAGCTGGGGGCGGGGGACGACCGAAGTCACCGAGGTCCGGCCAAAGGATCGCAGGCTGGACTCGGCTCCAGGCGCCAGGGAGGGAGGGGCACAGCGAGATTTTAGGTGAGGAAGGGGAGCTGGGGTCCCCCGCGGCCCCCGAGCCCGGCCTGAGGATGCCCACGGGCCACCAAG